AATCAAAAATGTCGGACAAAAGATAACTGAAATATAACGGTTTTTGTGTAAAAATAAGGCAAAGTTAGTTGGGAAACCCTTAATTTTTGCCTTATTTTTACACAAAAACCGTTATATTTCAGTTATCTTTTGTTCGATATTTTTGATTTTGGTATCGTTTGATAGGAAATTAAAAATGCTAAAAAAAGTATTCTTGACATTTTTTCATAGAATTAGCCGTTTTCGAGTTATTTAAGTTAGAAAAATTCAAACGGCCGCCATTTTGAAATTTACAATCGGAACAACTTTATTATTTTTTCTATTATAGGTCTTGTGTATGGTAACATGTTTACCAAGTTTCATAATCATCGAATAAAAAACTTCACAGATAAAAATATTTTTGTATAAAAAACAAAATGGCGGATATCTGGGTAAATATGGATTTTTGGACATACCTTCCCATAAACTTTTTTCTTCCTTTTAGTATGGGGATTCATTTCCCAAAGTCCTGAAACGTTTTTTTAAGGACACCCTGTATAAAGCAACTACATTAAAACAACAATGCAATACGGAATCGCAGTGGATAGAGTAAATCTATGGCTTTTGCAATCAGTAACTGTTCTATCGTCTTTTATTTATTTATTCATTCGTTTAACGGTTATAACCAATACAGTAAAAGTGCATTGTTGTGCATGCTTAACAGTAAGAAATCAACTATGGTCAACAGTGAATATACGCGGACGGCAGCCGAAATGTAACAGGTGATGGCCTCAAAACCTGGTGATATTTTTATTCTAGTCCAAATACGATTCTCTCATCCCATCTCGCATATCCATAAACTATAACCCCTTCATATCGATGGGACTCATTAAGTAGGAAAGAAACAATTAATTGTAAAACTGAATGGACTATAAAATAACTAGTAATTTATGATGATCACCACGGAATAGTTAATGATTCCACATCACTGTATATTTATGACTTATGAATATTGTAATGTGAGACGAAAGCTATGAAAATTATGTGGCGTCCTCATTAAACAGTTATGACGGGCTGGAGAGTGATTTATTTCAAATCATTGTCACTATATTTTGGACCCCGCTCAATGGTGATTAATCAAAATGAAAATATTTAGGCTTTCTTAAAAAAAATCTATTAAATTATAAGAACTATTTTGGATTTTTTTTAATAGGTAGGCCTACCTAATCAAAATAAAAATTAGCTAGTTGGTGAATTTTCTTACTATACAGTAGTTAAATAGTATATTTCATCACTAGGGCAATTTAATTAAGTGATTCTTTTTGACCCGAGGTCAGGTTTTTTGGAAAATGAGCGAGGGTTAGAGAGACACTTTTTGCCCGTGTGGTGAACTATATTTTCGTCATATTGCATCATTAATTAACAAACTATATAAAACGAAATAATTTTTATGTAAAGATAAAATCTCAAAACGACTTTCAGCTTGTTTTCAATTCTGCTAATGCAAGTAAGCAGCTGTTTAGTAAGTGATTCAATTATTTCGTCTATTACGATTGTGTTACAGTACAATATACCATCGATATGTCGAGCAATCGACAACAATAGGCTAAACCACTACCTAATAAATCAAATGATAAATAATTTCAATCTATACGATTGCCACAATCAAAATTTACAACTGTTTACAACAGCTGATTTTTACTCCCTAGACTAAAAGAGAGTAAAAATGCTACATAGGTACTTTAGACCCTGCTGTTTTTGTTGCAGTATGACGAAAAGGCCATTCACAATCTGTTCTTTCTTATAAGATGGTTTTGGAGTTACCCTACCTATGACGCCTTTTTTCTTAGAGAAATTCAGATTATAGGCTCAAAAGGGTTTTGCTTGCATAGAATGTTCCATCTTAACGGAGAGTGTTCTATTTAAAAACTACATTTGGTGCATGAGAGGTACTCAGAGATTTTCATGTCTGTAAGTATACGTTATCTGTATGTGACCACCTTTGATAAAATTTGTAAAATTAGTTGGGCTGGTTTTGAAACTAAAATTCCACTAATGCCATCTTTGCAAAAACAACAGTTCCTTTAAAAGAAACAAATAAAATCACTAAGTAACCAAAATGCAAGAATAACCATATTAAACATTTGTAGACATAACCATTGATAAGTAGGCACATAGTTAAAACAAAAAGTTAATAATACATAGGGTGGTACTTCTAGAGGGTTTCCTGATTATTAGATACAACTTAGAACAAAAGAAATAATTGGTTGGTTAAATGGCTAATTAAATTATAACATGCTTTATATTCCTTTGAAAATGCTAGAAAAATTCTATTTTAACTTCCAAACAGAAACTTTGTATATTAATGTAGAATTTATATCCAGGTCTCAGAAAATACTCAACACAACAGTGGCTGGATTGGTTGGCATAGGATCAGTTGACCGATTTCCTGTCGGGCTCTCTGTTATGTTTTATAAACAAACACAAATACCATTATCATATCATCGGATTATTGACCTACCTCGGTCCTGAGCCTGAGGTTCTAGCTATTGACAAACAAACATTCCTACACTCCACACCCTCCCTTGGAATATCCAAGACAGGACTTCGTCTTCATTCAAAAATTAAAATCGTCAAAGCTTGAGCCTTATATACTCCCCATATCTTTTTAAATCACCGTGGAGAAACCCGTTATTTTACACTTTATATCAGTTTCTATTGAAAGTCCTACATAAGTCCTATTGAAGTAGACCTACATAAGGTGGTTTTTATTGAATACAATTTGGCAAAAATCTATGATATGGGTATTAACACTCCCATAAGGGGTGTCTAGTGTGGGCTTAACCCCAAATATATTGAGTGTATAAAATATTTCTATAAGCGAATTTATCAAATTCAAAGTTATAATTAGACTAACATTGCATAATAGGTAAATGGTTTGGAGCTAGATAAAAAAATAAAACTATCAGTTAAAGAATAATTAATTGTCTAATATAGATGATTGACTGACCTACGTTAGCCCTCTCATAGAAAAACAAGCTATAGTTATTAGGGGTTGAGCCTCCTTATCCTATGCTGCCTATGGTTCACTGGTCCTTGCTCTCAACTGAACTTGTACCTACTAAAGGGGACTGGGGCGCCACTCATCCTACACTCATCTCCACTCATACTTGGCTTAAAATACCTACTTTGTATGGTTGCCATTTCCATGAAAGTATAATGGAGCCCAATAGTGACAAGTAAACTAATTCATATAACGAATACAAATAAAACAATGTGACACTTTTGTTCCTCTTAAAATTCCAGATGATTTGATGCCACACAAAATGGTTAACGTAAATATATTTTTACTAGCTGTACTCGCGGGCTTTGCCCCGTTTAACTTCTTAATTTTCAAGATGAGCTTGTTCGCATGGCTCAATCACGTCCTGGTTGAAGTTCGTTCGCTACGCTCACTCACTTTTAGGTTGGAGCTCGTTCGCTGCGCTCACTTGCCTTCAGGTTAGCTCGTTCGCTACGCTAACTCGCCTCCAGGTTGAAGTTCGTTCGCTACGCTTACTCACCTTTTGGTTGCAAATTAGCTGTTGTCATAAATTAAAAAAAAATAATAGTGCTGCACCCTGTTGGTAATCCTTGTAACTTTAATGCTATTGCACATCGCAGAACAGAACCAACTTGTTTAATTGAAACAGCTGTTAAGATTCATTAATTCCATTTAAATATGAGTACTCATAAGGTTTACATGGGAAACTCTAGAGCCACTGGGGGGAGCCCGAGAGTCCGATCAGAATAAAAACAACTTAGTTTTCCTATTTAATGCCTAAAGAATCAGTGTACCAAATTTCAGCCTCCTAGGTAAATGGGAAGTGGGAGAGTTGGTGATGAGTGAGTGAGTGAGTCAGTCAGTCAGTCAGTGAGGGCTTTGCCTTTTATATATATAGATTTCTATGGAAATAACAATAGTAATTATATGTTGGCCAATTTATATTAATGTTAAATCAAAATTAACATTACAAAACAGTACAAAATTAACAGAAATCTTTAGAGAAAGCACAATGTTGCCTTGTTTTATTTTGATTTGTAATATGAAAGAAAATTTCTAGCCACTATTAACCTCCCTAAATCGTCTTTAGTTTGGGTTCAATTGACAGTAATAAAAGAAGCAACCCAAAACCAGTGACAATAGCAAGTTTGGGCTCATTAGTATCAAGTAGCTACACCTGTTACTTTTCCCTTACATTTGAGTTGATGTTCAAAGTAATCTCTAATAATTTAAATCAGGCAAATAAAAATATTTTTTGTAGGTTTTCACAATGAAGTTATTAGACAACAGTCAAATATCCTTTCCTTACAACCAAACTCATAAATGGCCGACAAAAAAAACTGGTTTTTTCTGATATTGAAGAAATTATTTTTCTAGTGCGCTTATATAACAATAGGTTTGTTTAATGCTGTATGTTCAATTGATATTGAGCATTTTCCAACCAATCATCATTTTACCCAACAGTGGATAATCAACATACGTACCTACATAGAATAACTACCTAATTTTGTATGTAACTTTAAACATTACATTATCATAGATCTTGATACTTTTTTGCCAAATAATTTACCAAATTAACTTAATTATGTTCTGTAAACATTATTAGGAAAGGGATTGGTTAATTATTAGTCAATAATTCACATAAATGCAGGTTTTAATAAACCCATAAAATGTTTTAATAGGAATAAACAAGCATTTATAATGTAATAGAATGTTTTTGTAAAAAAAACCTATACGGACAGAAAGAGGCTAAACAAAACGCATCATGACATATTTCCAAATAAACATTTTGCTTATATTCACCCAAAGCATCACTACTTTAACTATGTCCCTAACTTTTTTAAACGCCTAGTATAATATGAAGCACTGACTTACCCTACTTTACGTATTCCAAAATTATGTAGAGGGTATACCTGACGAATGTGAAAGCCAGTGGTTTAAGCCTATGGCAAATGATGTGTTTGTAAAAAAAAAAACTGTTTAGAAGCTATCAAAAAACTCCCTTAAAGTCACAAAAATTTATTGATTTTTTGATTAACAAATTGATTTAGCATAGATTGTTTCCAAATTGATGAATTTCAGTCCGGCTCCATATTGATCACTGCTATTGTGACTTCTCGTTGTGGCGTGGTAGGTGGTGGGGTCATCAACAACCGGCTCGAGTATCTCGGGGGGGATGGTGCCGGTGGGTCGTCGGTCCACCTACCCCACAGCCAGATACCCACCGACACCACAGTGACAACGGCCCCCAGCCCCCCTACGGCCAACAGGGCACCATGCTCCTCCCTAAAGAAACAGACCAAATTTTCTAATTGTAATACAGTTTTACCAAACGTACTTGGAAACGAAGATTGTTTAGTACATTTGTGGCTGTACCTAACCATCTGTCAGTATTCAATTGATTTGAACTTAAAACACATGTTATGTGGCTGTACCTAACCATCTGTCAGTATTCAATTGATTTGAACTTAAAACACATGTTATGTGGCTGTACCTAACCATCTGTCAGTATTCAATTGATTTGAACTTAAAACACATGTTAGCAATTATTGTTAACTAATATTTACTTTTCTTGTTTACCTTTTTCTTTCTTTTGATCTTGTACCTTTTGTCCAGACAATAAATCCTCTAAAATACTAATTATATTATTTTATTAATCATTGTACATCACCATTAACCACACTGGTGACCAACGACGTGATAATTGAAGCAACATAAAAGTAAATCCTTCAAGACAGGACAGCATCTCCAAGAAACCTCAACTTTCGTCAGTCAGAACAAAACCAGGTTAGTTTAGACCTAAAAATGTCAGACACTGAAGAAAATGTCACTGATCCCAATTTACCAACCAATTCAAATAATCTCTCGAAATTAACAGTCAAAATTCCACCCTTTTGGAGGAAAAATGTCAAGGTCTGGTTACGTCAAGTTGAGGCACAATTCATTGTAAAAAATATCACTCAAGAACGAACAAAATATTACCACATTCTTGGAAATCTTGATACCGATGTTGCCGAATTGCTTTCAGATCTTTTAGAGAAACCACTTAGCCAAACACCTTATCAAGACCTTTGTAATCGCCTGAGAGCAGAAAATTCACTAAACTGGTTGACGAACTAGAAATTGGTTCGAAAAAACCTTCTCAGTTTCTTAGGGAAATGCGTACTCTTGCAGGTTCCCAAGTTAAAGACGATTTCCTAAAAACATTATTTTTTAAACGTCTTCCCCCTCAGATCAGCTCAATATTAGCATCTAGCTCCGACTCTCTAGACAATCTAGCAACCATGGCTGATAAAATCATGGAGTACTCTCCCACTCATTCTCAGCACATGTATTCCTTGAAAGGTGGAACATCAACAAGCTCACAACCTGATAGATTATCTCGCCTAGAAAACCAAATCACCGAACTAACCAACCAAATTTCATCTTTACGCTCCCGTTCGAAATCTGGTTCTCGACTTTACCAATATCAGAACCGTGACGCAACTCCTCAACGTAATAAATCTGTCTGCTGGTACCATAGGAAATTCGGTAAAAACGCTACAAGATGCACAACTCCATGCAACTACCATTCTTCCCCGTCCAAAAATTCGGAAAACTAACTCAGCACTATCTTGATTCGGCGGGAGATAGCGCAAAACATCAACCTCGCCGTCTTTTTGTTTACGATCGGCTGACTAATACAAAATTTCTTGTTGATTCAGGTGCTGATATTTCTGTGTTACCTGCACATAGCAAACAAAAGCCAAAACCATCTGCCAAATTACTTTATGCAGCTAATGGTTCAAATATCCCCACGTTTGGCGAGAAACTTTTACAACTTGACCTAGGTCTCCGCAGATCATTTTGTTGGCCTTTCACTATTGCAGACGTCCAACAACCAATAATTGGTGCAGACTTCCTAGCAGAATTCGGCCTTTTAATTGACATCAAAAATAAAAAGTTAATAGACAACAAAACGAACCTCTTTCAATGTGGCTCAACACCATCACCGTCAGTATCTTCTGAGATTTATCTGATTGACCCAAATAGTAAATACTCACACCTATTACATGAATTTCCTGAATTACTGAAAGACATACCTGGACATAAAACACCAGACATTGAATTCTTCCATACAATCAGTACCAATGGACCACCTGTTACCTCTAAAGCCAGACGGTTAGCTCCTGACAAACTCTCTCAGGCTAAATTAGAGTTTCAGAAAATGATTGATTTAGGTATCTGTAGACCTTCTAAGAGTTCTTGGTCAAGTCCGTTGCACATGGTACCAAAGAAGGACGGCACCTGGAGACCATGCGGTGACTACCGAGCCCTAAACTACATTACCGTTCCGGATAAGTATCCGATACCTAATGTACAAGACTTCAACTTACAGCTTGAAGGCAAGACAATATTTTCTAAAATAGATCTTGTCAAAGCCTACCACCACATTCCTGTTCATCCAGATGACGTACCTAAAACAGCTGTTATTACTCCTTTTGGTTTGTTTGAGTTTTTACGCATGCCATTTGGATTAAAGAACGCAGGTCAAACCTTCCAACGCTTCATTCACCATGTTTTACGAGACCTTACGTTTGCATATTCGTATCTGGATGACATCTTAATTGCTTCTGAGTCTGAACAGGAACACGAGCAACATGTTCGCCTTCTTTTTGAATGTCTATCCAAACACGGCCTCTGCATTAACGCATCAAAATGTGAGTTTCCTGTCTCGGAGATTTCATTCCTTGGCTATCGAATCAACAAAAGTGGAATATTTCCATTACCTGAACGTGTTCAAACGATACTAAACTATCCTCTTCCTGACACAGTTGATCAACTGAGACGATTTTTAGGAATCGTTAACTTCTATAGGAGATCACTACCAAACTCAGCAACAACACAAAAGACCCTGTACGACCTTTGTTCATCGCCCAAACGAAAGGACAAAAGCAAAATACAATGGAACGATAGCGCCAAAGAGTCTTTCAACAGGTTGAAAACATAACTGGCTAATGCTACTCTGATTTACCATCCTTCCAGCAATCTTCCCATCATCCTCTCAGTTGACGCTTCAAATTTCGCGATCGGGGCTTCTGTCCAGCAAATGAGAGGAAATACTCCAGAACCAATAGGTTTCTTTTCTAAAATCCTCACTAAAACTCAACAGAACTATAGCACTTATGACCGTGAACTTCTGGCCGCATATGAAGCAGTCAAGTACTTCAAACATTACCTAGAAGGCCGTCACTTTACTATTCTGACGGATCACAAGCCTCTCAGCTACGCATTTGAACAGCGCCCTGAAAAGGCGACCCCTAGGCAGCAAAGACATCTTGACTACATTAGTCAATTCACTACTGATATCCGTTACATTCCCGGAAAACAAAATTTTTCTGCAGATGCATGCTCTAGGATTACAGAAATTGAACTGTCATCAACTGTATCACTTACAGACATCGCTCATGCTCAAGAAGTATGTAATGAACTCAAACACATCCAACAATCCAACTTATCATCATTTACATTCAAAACTATGATTCTTGATAATGGACTTCAATTGATTTGCGATTCTTCGACTGGAACTCTACGACCTTTCATCCCTCATGCCTACCGAAGACCTCTCTATGACTCCATTCATAATCTATCTCACCCTGGAATTGCCACATCAGTCAAACTACTTCAAGAGAGATTCTGCTGGCCTTCGCTGAAACGTGATGTTTCATTGTGGGCCAAAACTTGTATTCCTTGCCAACGCTGTAAAACATGGCGGCACACTTCTAGTGAACTCGGTGCCTACCCTACTGCCGAAAAACGATTCTCTCATTTGAATGTTGATATTGTTGGACCCTTACCTCCTTCAAGAGGATATCAGTACCTGTTAACCATCATCGATAGGTTTTCAAGATGGACTGAAGCGATACCAATCTCATGCATCACCGCAGAAGAAGTTTCTTCCACTATTTTGCACTCATGGATATCTCGCTTCGGTGTTCCTCGTTTTATTACTACTGATAGGGGAAGGCAGTTTGATTGTGAATTGTTTTCATCATTCACAGCCATGCTTGGCATAAATCACATAAAAACTACAGCTTACCATCCTGCTGCAAATGGAGCTATTGAAAGGTGGCATCGCTCCTTAAAATCGGCTCTCAAAGCACAACTAACAGCAGACTGGGTTTCCAAACTTCCATCAGTTCTGCTTGGACTTCATTCAAACATAATACCAGAAATAGGAGTTTCACCTGCACAGCTCGTCTACGGAGAACCAATCACCCTCCCTGTTGATTTCTTTGAAGACTCCAAGCTGCCGAATGACATCCCTAAACTACTTGCTCGACTTCAAGACCATGTCAAATCAATTCGTCCTGTACCATTTCGCCATCATCACAAACGATCTATTTTCATCCATCCTGATCTCATGACCTCATCTCATGTCTTTATTCGTCATGACGCAATAAGAAAGCCTCTTCAACCAACATACGAAGGGCCTTTCAAAGTTGTTTCAAGAGGTGACAAGTATTTTAACATATTATTGCCACGGGGTGAAGATACCGTTTCTATTGATCGGCTGAAACCAGCATTTATTCTTCAAAATCATCTTCAACCTACACAGTCTCAGATGGATAAAACAATGGAGTCAGATAATGAACTGGCGAAACAACCTGAAACAGACTCACCACCAACGAGACCTAGAAACATCAAGGCTCAACAGCCTTCAGCCCAACCTGGACCTTCTGGACTTGTCCCTGAACGAAAAACCTGCTCGGGACGTGTTGTGAGGTTCTCTTCCAAATACCTCACATGAAACTTTGCGCTGTCACTGGGAGGGGAGTATGTGGCTGTACCTAACCATCTGTCAGTATTCAATTGATTTGAACTTAAAACACATGTTATGTGGCTGTACCTAACCATCTGTCAGTATTCAATTGATTTGAACTTAAAACACATGTTAGCAATTATTGTTAACTAATATTTACTTTTCTTGTTTACCTTTTTCTTTCTTTTGATCTTGTACCTTTTGTCCAGACAATAAATCCTCTAAAATACTAATTATATTATTTTATTAATCATTGTACATCACCATTAACCACACATTGTTTTACATTCAATGGCTACTGATTGGAATATGTTAGACGCTGTAAGGTTTTTTTAGCTTAATAACTAAACGTGGTCTAAAACTTATTTTTTTCAATAATTAAAATAACTAAGAACTCTCCGTACTAGATCTACTACTAATATTCTGCATAATAGAGCCAGAAAATAGTACTTACCAAGCCCTCCTTAGGGCGTCCATTTCAAAA